TTTAAAACACATGTATGTTGGTTAATTTTAAGATAAGAGACTTCATCGTCATATCCGAGTAGAAAACATACTTACTACCCACGACTATGAGAAATGAGAATTTGCATCATCACAAAGTATAAAATATAGCTTGAATTTTAAAAATCAACAAAGTCTCACTCAAAACTCAAGTGGAAAATATCTCACTTTACTACATATCGTAGAAGTATAGTAGCCCGTATCAGTACAAGAATCGACAAGAGTCCAATCTTTTGAGAAAAAAGTTTTAAAGTAAAAAGCAAAAGTGGAAAAATGGTTTGAATGAGGTTAATGACTTTTAGTCTTTCAAAAAGATGTCAAAGTATGGTTAAATTGATTAAAGTTTTATTAAGAAAAAGATTTTTGAAAATGCATGGATCTAAGTCCAAGTTTATTAAGAAAGCGATTCAAATTAGAAAAAAGAAGAGTTTTGAAAAGGAGGGAGAATATTTTTGAAATTAAAGAAGATAAGAGGAGATGAAGGGACTATCCTAAAGCATAAGGTAAAAGTCGAGGAAAATAATAATCTAACCAACAAGAATCCAATACTTGACATATGAAGTCAATGTAGAATTCTCATCCTTTAGATTGAAACTAAGCAAGCAAAAATACTAAACCTCTAAGAAATACCAAGCTTTAGGTGAATTAAGTATTCATAAAAATTGGGCAGAGTAACGGCTGTATATAAATGAATTCTTAATCACAAACAAAGCATATAATCAGAATAACCTGCACACAAAGAAAGTTAACCCAATGTCTTGGTGTAAACCTCGAGAACTTTAGAAAAAATAACAACAGAGTCACAAGGTCTCAGAGTATCAAGGCTCCTAATCCTAAGTCCAAGATATCCACAACTCCATAATGCCAAGGATAGTCATAAAATAGTCCAAGTAACCTTAAGGTTTTTAATGTTCAAGTTGGTTATTAAGTATCTTCAAAAGAAAATAAAAGCTCAAGTGAGCAAAGATAAAATAATATAAAGATAAATGCTCAAATGAGCAAAGATAAAATGGCACAGAATGTAAATGCTAAAATAAATGGTGCATAAAAATAAAGGCAAAAAAATAAAGACATAAAGTAAAGTTAATTGTTAGTGAATTAGAAGTTAGAAGTCAAATACAAAAGGTTAATTGAATGACCATCTTGAAGCTTGCTTTTGAAAACTCATTAGAAGATTGATAAAATCAAAATCTCTCAACAACAAGTTTCAATTGCTTTTTGTCAAGTATATCATTCATCTTAAATACTCAAGGCAACCACATATGATCAACGATGTTCAACTGATTCACTTAGACCAAATTTTATGAAGTTCATTAGAGGATTGATATAATCAAAGCCTCATAACAATGAACTTCAAAATTATTGGATCAAAGGTTTCAAATTAAACATACTTGGACTTGCAAACATAGGTTTGGGCCACAAATGATCATTTTTCGAATCAGGATAAATTTAGCGATATGTTAAGCAATTGTAAGTGGACTTATGTAAAAGTCACACCTATTTTGATGTCGGTCAATAGCAATCTATGTACCAACATGTTAGAGAAATGATATGTAGACCATTCTCCAAAAATATGTAGCACAAGTAAAAACAAGAAATGAATAAGATGAAGAGGGAGTGGATACATCAGGTGAAATTAAGGTTTCAAATATCATTAACATCATTCAACCATTTTGGTGGATTTGGTTTTTCAACCTATCAACATCCAAGATCCAATGAGATTGAGGAACTTGTCCCAAAATAACACCAAAATCAAGACCAAGCAAAAATAATAAAAATATATTTAATAATACAATATTTAAATGATTAATAAAAGGGAAATAATTGATAAAATACATAAAATGTGTTAACACACCAAATAAAAATTCTAAAAATAAAATCAAAAGTCAAACACGAGTTAACAAATATTGACAAAAAATTTTAAAGTCAAAAACTATTTTTAAATATAAAGAAATAAGCAAATTAAGCCAAAATTTGTGAAAAATAGTAAAATAAAAAATAAAAATAAAATGATGTTACCAATATTTTTCAAAAGGTCATTGAATCCTTCCTTAATTTTTTCAAAATTTAAAAATCAAGAAAATTATTTTTAAACAATTAAAACAAATCAAATAAAGTGAAAAATCATTAAAAAAAATACTAAATCATAATATAAAATTGTGAAAAAATAAAAACCAGAAAGAGAAAAATTAAAAGTATTTTTGAGAATTTTTTCAAAATTTTAGAAGTTGAAATGAATTTTTTTATGAATTTTTTTATGAATTTTTGAAGTTTAAAACAAATAAAATATAAAATCAGAAAATAAAAAATAAAACCAAAAAGATATAGACCATTGGATCAATTTCTAAACGCGTTAGTAATCAAATCCAAGGGATCTGACACGCTGTGCATATCATGGTCATTAGTGAATAAACCACCAGATCACTTATTAAAAAACAGATTAAAAATACGTGGCACCATGTCATTGGTTAAGAGATGACACGCTGGTCATCTTCAACCTTCAGCCACGCACGAATTACAGGTCTCACAAACTGTAAAATTAGTAGTTCAGACCGATGCCACTCACTTCGTCTCTTCAAGACGATTTCAATGGTACCTTGCGAAAAATTTATTTAACTTATAGCTCAGTCGATTTGAAAAAAAATCAAAGAGTTTTGAATTTTTTTGAAATCGAAAACAAATGCATCAAATACATCAATTAATTAAAATTAAACCATTAGCAAGCATCAATGAACATAATAGATCGTTCCAGTAATTTGAGTTAGAAGAATTGATGCCTTAAACTACCTAAACAAAGTATGAAGAAATTACTCTGCAACTTGACTTGGCTTGCACGATTTAGAGCACCTCAAGACTTAATTTTTCTTCTGTTAGTTTCAGTGAAGTTCAATGATGAAGAATGAGTAAATAAAATGGATTGAAAAATGTTCTGGAACCAAATTCGAAGTTACAGAATTGAGAGGTATGGAGGAAGTTCAGCAAAATCTCCAAAGCTCGGGAAATGAATGAAATATCATCCTTTATTTATAGAGAAGTCAATGATGATGAGAAATGAGAGGAATTATGAACGAATCATGCAAACCAAGCCAGCTATGATCATGCCAAATGTGTAACTTGAAATGCATCAAAATGACCTCATACCAAGTGCAATTCTTATCAAAACACATATGGGCAATTAGTTAAACATGTTTAGAAACTAAACTTTGAGTAATTCGACCTGTAATCCAAATTTACTCATGGTAAAATTTCTGGCTCGAGGCAAAAACAGATTCTATGGAGCCAACTTCAACAATACATAGCTCACTACTCAGGGACCTTTATAGAACGATTCTTGAAGCATTAGAAAGATGAAGTCACAAGCTTTACAATGTGCCAAGAAAGACTCCATTTGGATGATTGAGCTGAAAGTTATGTCCACTTGAATTTGTGAAAAACACACAGATTTTTGTACTTAGAAAAATTTCTAAGTATAGAACTCCAAAGTGACCTATAATGTTCTTCAAAATTACATGACCTTCCACTCAAAATTTGATCTTGATATCTGAAGATGACATGAAGTAGACCTCTTGAATTGAATTGTGGAATTGTGATCACTCAAAAATCATAAAAATTGAAAGAGTTATGGCCTTTGTAAGATGATGAATAAATTTGGGGAAACGCACAAAAGACCTATAATCTTTTCATTGATTGAGTTTATATACAACAATAATTTTCATGCGAATATTGGTATGGTACCGTAAGAAGAATTGTATGGTAGAAGGTGTAGAACTCTATTGTGTTGATATGAGTGAGACAAGAATATTATGCTCGGACCTGAGATTGTACAGGAAATGACAGAAAAGATCAAGACGATCCAAGAGAGGATGAAAGCTTATCAGAGTCACTAGAAGAGTTATCATGACAAGAGGAGGAATGCACTTGAATTTCAAAAGGATCATCATGTGTTTTTGAGAATTACTCTAGTGATTGGTGTTGATAGAGCTTTGAAGTCGAGAAAGCTCACACCATGTTTGTTGATCCATATCAGATTTCACAGAAGATAGGTGAGATGACCTATCAAATTACTTTATTGTCGTCGCTTGGAATCTTCATGACGTGTTTCATGTGTCTCAGTTGAGGAAATATATTTCGGATCCTTCGGATATGATCCAAATAGATGATGTACATGTGAGAAATAACCTGACTGTTGAAGCATCACCTGTACGGATAAAAGGCTGGGAAGTGAAGCAATTAAGGGGTAAAGACATCGCCTTGGTGAAAGTGTTGTAGGGTGGACCAGCTGGCAAAAGTTGGACTTGAAAACGCGAAGATCAAATGAGAGAGTCTTATCCGATTTTGTTTCCGCCAAGTAATTTTTTAGGGCAAAATATTTTTTAAGTGAGGGAGAGTTGTAACACCCAAAAAAATCTAGATTAATTGTTTAATTAGTTATTTAATTAATTTAGTGTGATTATATGAATAATTGTGATTTTATGTGAAGTCTTTGTGAGTATATGTGATGTCTTAATGATCATGATGCCTAATGTGATGTTATCGTGTGGTGCGTGGTAGAAAATATAAATTAAGATGATAATTAAAATAATATAATATTTGAGAAATTACTACGTAGAATCATTATTTAAATAATTAAAATAATTAATTAGACTTATTTTATTTAAATAGATAAATGAAAGTAAGATGAGAAGATCATAAAAAGAGTCTAAGATTTAAAAAAAAAAAACATGAAAAGAAACTAGAACAGAGAGGGGCAAGAGGTAATGCTAAAAACCTAAATAAATATTATATTCAAACACATGGACTACAGTCCACACGAGAGCAGAAGGACACCACGGTCATTCAACAAGCTTGCCGAATCTACACAACATTTCGTTACTCAACATTACCAAAAATACCGATAACACAACCAAACAGAGACGATAACAACAGTTAACAATAACTTACCCATCCACAGACGAGACATAGAAATCACGCTTTCGATATTAATGGTATCTGTGAACCCTAATCAAACACAAGCCTTTTACTTCTTCGATCCTTCAAACATGGGTCTTCCCGGCGTCAACCAACTTCCACCACCGCAACAACCACCTACTACCGCCGCCGCATCTACCTCTTCCGAGGATCCGAATAAGAAGATCCGGAAACCGTACACGATTACTAAATCCAGAGAGAGTTGGACTGACCAGGAGCATGATAAGTTTCTAGAAGCTCTCCAACTGTAAGCTTCTGAAAATTACTGGTAGTTATTGATTAATTAGGTTTCGTTTCGATCGATTTCGGATTCATATGAGTTTTAACTAGTTAAGTAATTTGCAATCAATAATGATTTTTTATATGATTCGTTTGTTAATTGGGGTTTACACCTCCTTAGGCTTTGTTTGCGAGCTTGGGGGAGAGGGAAAAGGAGGGCTTCGAAAAATGATTATTTTTTAAAATATAGAGAAATTTTTAATATTTAAAAAAAAAAAAACTCTGTTTAAAATGATAAAATAATGTTAATTTACTATAACAACAAAAAAAATATATTTGAACAATTTGTTTAACACCCTCTAAAATCCTCCTCCAATACAAATTTTGAGTTCCCCAAATTAGGGTTTTTTGGTGTTACGAAGAAATGCAAATCCTCTAAAACCCTCCCGACCAAAATCTTTCTATTCTTTCCACCCATTCTTTCCTATTTTTCAAAGCCCTCCCCTCCCTTCCCCTCCAAACTCGCAAACAAAGCCTTATATTTCTCCATCATTTTGTATTACGGACCCAAGATATTTAAATTGCGTGACTCGTGGGATGATATGGTCTTCAACTTTCACTTCTAGATTAGAATCGCTTCTTACTTTATTGAACTTACATTCCATATACTCCATCTTACTCAGTGTATATAAAATCGAGAGTTTACGCAGAAACGGTAGAGAATTGAAAAATCATAACTCGAGGATTGTAAGACGGATCATAAGATCTTACCACTTGATAGAAAAATATATTTATATATGCATAACTATATACACATGCCCAAAAATCATCATATATAAAGAAAGTAAGTTTCTTATCGTAACCCAAAACATAAGTTCATCATTTTAATCATAAAATCATAACAAAAAAAACATAGTTTAAAATGAAAACAATCTAAAAACAATTATTCTAGACATTCAATATGTCATCAAGTCTCATATATGCATAGTTGTCTTCATCCCCATCTTCATCTTCACTCTCTTCTAATTCTTCATCAATCGAGTCAGCTTGCAAGGTTTGTCATCCTTACTAATTCCGGAACAACTCTGCAAGGTTTGACATTCTTACTAGTTCCAGCCAAATGATGTTTGATTCGATAACCTCCTCCGCTAAACTCTTCTCCACACTACTTGCACTTCCACCTTCTTGTGGTCGGAATAGTTCTGTTGGTTACCGGAGGTATTGATGCACTTTTATTATTGGAAGCCATTGATGAAAAAGAGATGAGGAAAGTTTGCAGAGAGGTGTGCGTTTATTCTTAATAGAGGGCGTGTGTATATATTACTTATTGCAGAGATTTTTGTTCTAATTGTAAAAAGAGTTTTTTTTTCTACCAGTAATTGTGATGGAGATATAGGTAATTGAAATGTTTTAGTTGTGGTAATAATCAACATGATGGAGATATGGTAAGTGGAAGATTTTTTTGGAAAGGGAAAGGAAATTATGCGATGGGGGGAGCATCTCTCCAAATTCTCATTTAATAAATGTTAAAATTGCAGTTTTAATACGACCCTACCGACCCGGTTCCAGTCTATTTTAAAATTTAGGGTTTTTCCCAAAAAAATGGGCGCCGCTTCTCTGCAAAAACTCGCGAGTCTGCTTCCCGAACTCGTACGAATTCGCCAAGTTTGCTGCATACGATCCCACGGGAATCGCAGCACGCCGGCATGCCATGAAAACGCAAAAGCATACGATTTCACATCCCAACTCGCGATTTCACATCCCAACTCGCGATTTTGCATACACTGATCTTACTTGTGTTTAGGCGAAAGCCATGCGTTTATAACACTCGTTTCTAAGTCTCCAGCTTCTCATTTAAATCCTCCTTCAACTCCTCAAGTAGGACTATAAAAAAAACATACATTTCAGTGCCAAATACATCAAAGTTAAAGTAAAAAAACATACATTTCAGTGCCAAATACATCCAAAATTAAAGTAAAAAAAAACATACATTTCAGTGCCAATTACATCCAAAATTAAAGTAAAAAGGTAGGGACTTAGGGTGAGCCTTGGTGCAATCCTATTGTAATGGAAAAGTATCTGTAAAAATATAATCAAGGATATGAGTTTAGGGCAATCCATAGCATTATCATTCTACCAATTCTGAGTGTAGGCTATAGAAGATTGTGTTAACTTGTGAATAACATCATCTGGGCCTAAACTATAATAAAGAAGCCTGCAGCCCCTTGACCTCCTATGTTGTTTGCTTGCCAAAACCAATTTATTGTAGTATCTTATTGGTTTATTTTTGGCCATTTTCTTCTGTGTTTCTAATGATTGATTTCAGATTCGAACGTGACTGGAAGAAGATTGAAGCCTTTGTTGGTTCAAAAACTGTTATTCAGGTAATTATCATAAAATTCGAAGGGAAACAAAGAACAATTTACTCTTGGACATTAGATGGTTTCGGTTTCTTTTAAAACATGTAATGTAATATTTAAAGAAAAAAGTTAATCAGTATTTCATTATATTCTCGAGTTTTATATTACATACCGTGTATTAGGTGTAAATTTATTCAGGGTCATTACTGAATATTATGATTCAATAGAACAATGACATGTTGGTTTCCAAAACAATGTTTGGGGTTTTATGTGAATTGTATTATTTTCGATATCTTTCCTTAGTATCATTCCAGTTTGATTTTCGTCAAAATAAACTAATAGGTATATATAAATGAAAAATTGAATAATAAAAAGCTATAGTTTTTGCGTCATAATTAAGTGAAATTATTCTTCCTAATTTTTTCTTCAAAAACATTGCAGCCGATGATGGGTTAAAAATATAAACCTGTGATTTGTCACCTTTTTTTTTAAGTAGAAAAGAAAGGAGATAAAGTCATTAACTCGTCTTTAATTATGTAATGTAGTTGACATTCATTATATGTTCCTCAAACTTTTCTCTCTTCACCCTTCTATGTATCATTATATTTTTGTAGATACGGAGTCATGCACAAAAGTATTTTCTCAAAGTTCAGAAGAGTGGAACAAGCGAACACGTACCTCCTCCTCGGCCAAAGAGAAAAGCTGCTCACCCATACCCTCAAAAAGCTCCAAAAAACGGTAGGTATATTGAACCACTTTTAATTTACCAGTGACCTTTGTCTGTTTCATGAATTGTGAAATAACACTGATTTTTATTTTTGCATTCATCAGTTCCTACTGCATCCCAAGTCACCGGGCCATTGCAATCGTCAACTTCTTTTGTTGACCCACCATACATTTATAGCACAGATTCATCATCTGTGCTTGGAACACCAGTTACTAGTCTGCCTTTGTCATCTTGGAATTATAATGCTAAACCACCAGCCAGTGTGCCACAACTGACTACAGGTTTTGTTTGTTCTGAATGCCATCAATATTTTCCCACATTTTTTATCATTAAATCTGTAATTTTTTCCACTTCATTCTAGGATGAATTAACGCTCGAGGAAAGTTAGGCTAACTAGGAAAGTTTTTTATTTTTGTTAGATGACACGGGATGGACTGGATCTGGACAAGCTGCTCCTCTTAATTGTTGCAATAGCAGTAGTAATGACAGCACTCACCTTGCTTTGCCAAGTAGTAAAGGGATTAATCAAGGCAATGTGGGCAAGCCAGTTCATGGTTAGAATGCTTCTTTATTTCTAATTTAAACTTGATTCTCCTTGAAATTAACACAAAAACATAATAAAAATCTTAAATTGGATCCTATGGTTGTTTGTAATAGTGTTGTGCTTCTTGAGATTTTATTGAATTAATTTATAATTAAAACTTGAAAACCACAGTTCCATTGTTTGAAGACCATGTTACTGAGATGTTTTTGTTTTGACATCACCCAATTGTATGTATTATTTATGCAATTGTGGAAGTTTTCTACAAGAATTAACTAGTGAAAATTAAATACTTTCATTTATCAGGATTTTAACAAATGGAAGAAGGAATTTGTGTGCGAGGTTTTTATCAGTTAGACTAGGCTTATTTCATTAAGTTTAGTATGCCCATACTGAACCCCATCTTTGCTTGGCCAAAGAAATTGCCGTCTTTGAAAAGTCTCAAACTTGCACAACAAATTTAACAGTTTCGTAAAGCTACAGGAGGGGGATTTGGCAAGGATTGAGCGAGTGGGATATTAAAATACTTTCATGAATGTTACGCCCTGTTTAGTTTTGTATTTTTTTATTTTTATTTTCTAAAACATGTTTGTTTTAACTTTTGCTAATTGGATACAAAACTTTTGAAGTGAACAATTGTGACGGAGAGAAGATAAAATGCTAGCTAATTTATGTAAAACAATGAGGACACGTTTTTGACTTGTTTCATTGTTTCATCACTTTCCAAAAAATACACACTACTGTTCACATCAAATATTTATTATCTTATTGTGATCTACATAATAGGATCTGGACATAGATTTATATAAAAATATTGTGAATATTATACTAAAATTTTCCAAGTACTGAACTTAAACCCTAAAGCTGCTACTGTTTTGGTGGGAAGGGGAAGAAGAAGTAAAATTATAAACTTCTGCCAGGCAGTGCCCCTACTCATTTAAAGTGTGTTAAGAGTTGGTTTGAAGTTACTATTTGATAGTTTCACGTCAACTACACATATGTCCTAGGTAGTGCTTATAAAGTTCAGAAAGTTCTCGCTTTATAAACTTGTTTTGTGGGGGGGTAATGGGGTTGAGTAAATTCTAAGATGGTATTAGAGCTTACTAGATCTGTGATTTGGACACTCACAGATTTCTGTTCTTACAAACTTCATGCTTCGGATGTCTAGTTTTGGGCAGAGTAGTCGATAGCAGTGGATAGTGGTGCTATCCCGGGCGAGCAGCGAGGAGGCTGGCCGCGACCAGAAATGCTCTAGCTGTGCAGTTCAGCGTCGCAGGTGCTATTGGGTGGGTTGCAGGTCACGGGAGCGGAGCGGATTCCCTGTCCAGAGTGGTTTTCGGTCCACTTTCAATTCCCCTCCGAAAAATCAAAGTCACCCTTAAAATTTAAACCATTTTAAGGGTAATTTTGCTCAAATATGAGCCCGGACTTTGATTCACCAGTTCAAAATTTAAACCGTTTTAAGGGTAATTTTGGGTATTTTGCTTAAATATGAGCCTGGACTTTGCTTCACCAGTTCCTCCCTCTTTTTTCTGCGCAGCCGTTCAAAGGACAAGGGAAAAAAATAGTATTCTTCTCCTTCCTTCCTCAGTCATTGTGTTCCTCCCTCCCTTCAGCATCGCCACCGTCCTCCCTTTCAGCTAGTTTTGGGACCTCTATTCCTTGGGCTAGTTTTTTGGGGTGAGTTAGTTGAAACAAATTTTTTTAATTACCCAATAAGTGGGTCAAGACCCCAAATCCAAAATGAGAAAGGTTGGGTGAAAAGTGTTTGATACAACACACCCAAACATTATATAATAGGTAGTTTGATTCGTTTTCCATTATGAAATAAGAATTCACTCACTGTCTGGAGTGAGCAGTGCATATTAATAAGCTCTTGTCAGTTTTCCTGACTTTAATACTGAAGTAGTACGTTTTAGTCATTTGCATTATTGTTTGATTATATAAATCATATATTTTGGCATACTGGATGTCGGATGTTATGATAGTTAAGCATATGTTTTGCTAATACATATTCATGATTTATTGATTCTTGCCTTACTCTTATTTCAACTTCCTCCGTGCAGTCATGCCAGATTTTGCACAAGTATACAACTTCATTGGCAGTGTATTTGATCCAAATTCAACAAATCACCTACAGAGGTTAAAGCAGATGGACCCAATTAATGTTGAAACGGTAATTGATATGACGTCCTTTCTTTGCCTCCATATGATTCATTTCTTTTCAGCGTGCACAGGATGCAGGGCTGTGGTTTGAAAATGGAGTCTAATGTTAATTCTCTAATATCATTTCCTGTCTACTTGAGTAATTTAAATGTTCTATTGTGCAGGCACTGCTATTGATGAGAAACCTCTCCATTAATTTAACGAGTCCAGAATTTGAGGATCATGTAAGTTTAATTTCCACTAGATTTTCTTTTTTCTCTTATCATTTTACCAACAGACAATATAGTAACCACATACATTAATTTAGATGTCTCTGTCATATTTTATTCTGCTATTTTTTTGGTTGTATATAAAACTTACATAATAGTAGGTCAAAAGATATGAACTGATACAAACTGCTTTCAGCTGGCTGGATTCTTTTAAAGCAACCAAACACATTGATTTTTCTATCTTGTTATTTTGCTACCAGAAGCCTCGTATGATGATAAATGCACTTAAGTTTGATTTGTGACATATGATTTTCTTCATGTGGGATTTCTCATTTTAATACTCTTTGCAATAAGTTTTTCAATTTTATTGTTTCAACATTCTTGTTGCTCCTATTTTCTTGCCTACATTCAAGAGAGAGGTGAAGTTAGATGGGTTGGGAATTAAGCAGAGGATGAGTTATATTATGTGTTGTGATTGTTTTCTTATCCTGGTATAAGATCCATTCTCAAATTTGATGTATGTATGCTCTATTCTGTCACAGTTAGTGTTGTCTATTATTCTGCTTGACAAAATTCCAGCACTATTGATTTCATTTACTTTTCAAAATACAAACTGCTTCATATTCTACTGACCGATTCGTTTGCCAAACGTTTAATCAATGCAGAAGAAGCTACTGTCGTCATATGATGCTAACAGTGAAAAGGAAAAGTTTGGTAAACCAAGCAGCAGCAAAGCCATGCCTGTTGTTAAATCTGAAAATGCCGTTTTTTCTGCTTAGAGTGTTATCAGTGGTTTGTCTTGAAGATGAAGCTTTCCAATTTATTTTGTGAGTACATAAAGTAGGAGAAAGAGAAGCCAAGGACAAAAGGTTTTGCAAAACAAAATTGTAGTGTAAATGGTTGCATCATGCATGCTGTACATAGAACACATCTGTATGCCATTTTGATAAGTTTCTTGTCTGTCTGTCCGTCCTAGGCATTGGTTAGATAGTTAATACTTAATAGTATCCTAGTATTTTGTATGGACTATGTGTATAAAGCACGGAGAAGGCTGTGCTTAGAATACAGGACACTCAGACACTAAGTGTCCTGTTTAGGTTACTTGTGGAGGCTATGCTGTACAGTTTGTTGAGTACTTTCAAGGGTTATGCTTTCAAGCTTCTTTCAAATATTAGTACGGAAGAGCAGTTTTAGGATTGAGGAATGAGGAGATGCCGTTTGTGTTGTATATAAACTAATAAAACATCACTGTTGACAGTTTTAAGTTTGTTTACATGCACTGTGAATACTTGAATAAGGCCAAGGTCATGAAAAGTCTAAGTCTGATATATCAATGAAATCAAGGTTTAGTATGTAATATATTAGTAGATTTATTTGGTTTTATGTGTACTGTGTTAGTAGATTCATTTGGTTTGCTCTGTAATATATTAGTAGATTAATTTGGTTTTATATCTACTATGTTAGTAGATTCATTTGGTTTGGTATGTAATATGTTAGTAGATTTATTTTAATGTTTGAGTTTGACATTTTTAAAACTCTGATAGGATGTTGAAGCTTACTAAAGACTTATTTCTTTATGAATAATAATATGTTAAAGTAAAATGACATGATTAAATAGAATAATGATTTATTAGTTATTCCATCAACAAGATTAAATCTTATTTTGATAATTAATTCTTAGTATGATATTTTGGAGAATATGATTTTATATGATATTGTATTTTAGTTTTAATTTATAGTCAATTATCTAAATGTCTAGAATTTTAATAATGCTAACAACTTAATAAGCCTAAATTAGTGAAATAAATTGTAAATTATACATTAAATCAAAGTATAATATTTCTAATAAAGTTTTGAGCATATTCATTATGGAAGAACTCGTATGGTCCTGCTAAAATCATGAAATAAAGTTAAATGAATAAAGTCATTGCAAAGGCTCTACAAGCTAAAGATTTAAGGGAGAAAGAACCCGAAGATCAGAGTGAAGAATAAGACAACGATGAGCTCTCAGTCTTATCTATGATGGTTCGACATATATAGAACAGAAGGAAGAAGTAATTTCTAAAATGGACTTTAAGAACTCAAAAATTCAAAAGAGAATAAGGATAATGCACACATTAAAATCGTCTGCATGAATGTAAAGAGCTTGGACATTTAATAAATAAATGTCATAAGCTTGAAAAAGAGAAATATAAGACGTGTGGTTTTAAAGAAAAGAATAGTGCCTGTGAGGTTTCTTTAGGCCTTTTTTAGATGTGATAATCAACAATGGTTTAAGGCTAATATTGGTAACAATAGATGAACTACCAGACCGCATAATTCAGGTCAATGGATTTTGCAAAGAACCAAGGAGTATGTAGATGCTATGGGATTGAACAAGGAAGATGAATCAAGGCAACAATGTTAAAATGATTGGTTGAACTCCGTTAGAGAGTAATATGGTGAAGTTAAATATCGATAATGCGTGTAAGAATGGACTCGCTTCTGGCTGTGGAGAGTTGATTGGAGGTAGTAATGGTATTTGGACCAATGTATTATTAAGTCATTGAGTTATTGCAGTGTTGTGATGGCAGAACTTTGATGTGTTTTTGAAGGTTTGAAACTAACTGATGCGAAAGGCTTTGAAGGATAATGATCAACATACATTCGATAGAAGTAGTGGGTGCTATTGAGAAGGGGATTATGAGAGGTGGAGATGTGTTGCCATCATAAACATGATTAGCCAATTGATAAATAAGCATGGTGTGGTTAAAGTTGAGCACGCGTATCAGAAGTCTAATATATACATGTTTTAGCCAATATTGGCTGTGAGATAGAGGAAGAAATGATTATTTTTGACTTAATGCCTATTGTTTTATCAAGTATGATATATGATGAGAGGAAAGGTATAATTTCTCCTACAGTAGTTGTTTTGTAGTTTTTTATTTCTGTTAGGCTTCGATCCTCTTCTGTATCAAAAAAAGAAGATAAGAAAAGTCTCATTAAACATAGAATGACAGAATGACTTAGTTGATTATTCTAATGAAGATGAAAGCTTTAATTTGGCACCCTCTATATTTTGATAATGTCAAAAATAGAATAAATTGTCTGAACGAAATTATTGGAAAGCCATATGAAATTTCTGGTATGCAAACAAATTTCTGATAGTTCAATTGAAATTTATGGAAAGTGTCAAATATTTTCAGAAATTTCAAAATGTGATGAAATATCAATTGTGAAATTTTCGGTAGTTTATTTACTCAAAAATTTCAACGATCGGGATTTTGCAAACATTTTTTTATAGTTGTGATTGCACCGATAATTTTGTGTGGTCCAAAATGAATTCAAAGTTGTATAAATAGGGTGATCTATTGTTGAGAAAAACATCTCAAAATATCTCTTCCTTAATTTTTGATTAAGGCAGAAGTGTACTTCACCGGAGATAAACATCCTGTTGAGTTTCGGCTTTCGGATGGTACTACATCTCTCGCCAACTTGACATCCAAGTTGAATGAGTTGTTGCCTGATATCGATAATAGAAAGGTGAGAACGATCGAGTTTCATGAAGATTGGAATGATACAAATAAAATGGTGAAATACAACCTTTTTGAGTTGGAGACCGATGAAAATTTGACAGTCATGTGGAGATCATTTCACCGTAGGCTAACAAAGGGGTCAGTCGAGTTTGATACGCATATTTTAAGATATGTCGACGATATAATCAAGATACTGAAAGCCCAGAATCATCTGGTAGTGTCTAGGTTTTCATGTTTCGTTATTTTTAATTTATGTATGTTGTAATGTTTTAAGTTATGTTCATCTTCGAAACATGTAATCAACAAAATATTATGTAATAAAAAAATACTATGTTAAGTAGTCTGAGTCACCAAATATAAAATATTGTCGTCTGATTAATGATAGGAGCAGTAAAGAATCTATCGACAATGGGGAGATTAAACAAGGATGAGACATCATCCAAAGTGATAATCATCTCCCCAAATAGAAGATGAAATGAAGATGTCTCTGTGTGCTACAACTTAACAAAAACAGTCAGAAGTGAAGCGTCAAGCATGATCAGTGAGCAGCCGACAAACTCCAGAAGACTGAATTTGTATGTGACATGGTCAACATACTCAACATACTGAGTGAACACTGATCGGTCACTTGGTCCTCTCGAGAATGCTCTACTAGTGTGAACAAATACAACTATAGAAGAACGAGTCGTAATGTCTATATCAGTCAGAGTATCATCATTGGCAATAGGAGGTATGAGGACCACCTCATCATCAACCTATCTATAACCGACACATGAACCTCCTTAGCAATAAGAACCTCATCATCAACAACCGACACATGAACCTCCTCAGCAAAATGAACCTTCTCATTAGCAACGACACAAAAACCTTCTCAACAATAACCTTAGCAACATTAACCTCCTCAACAACATGTATCTGATCAACAGGTACCTCATCAACTCTATCTGTTCGGCGTCGGGGTGCGCAGATCTGGGACTACTCAACAATCGTTTCCAGTGAGAACCAGTTGAAGTTACTCATCCAGTCTATAGTCGGGAAGCCTCTACCGCATCAACCCTAATCTGGGCCGATGCTCTACCGGTGATCCTGCCGGCAATGGTCTTATCCTTTTCCTGGTCTTCACTATAAAATGATAAAATAACAAAAAACAGTGAACGAATGGTCGATTTTCAAGTATCTAAGCCAATATCGAAAATTCTAAAATTTCCGAAAATTTTTAATTTTTTTTGAACTACTGAAAATTTTGAAAATTCTAATACTACTGAATTCAAAAAATTCGGACATTTCAAAATTTCTGATATAAATTTTCAAAATTTTAATAATTTTCGATAAGAACTTCGAAAATTTCAAAATCTCCGAAAAAAAACTTTTGGCAATTCTAATATTCTTGATAAATTATTCACTTTTTTGCATAATTTTCTATAATTCCTTCAAATTGCCGATATCGCACTAAATTTTTTGAAATTTCTACTTTACTAGGGTGAATTATAAAAATGGCAGAAAATTTTAGTAAAGATATTTTTGTCTTTTTATTGAGTTTAGAAGTGTCATATTCAACTTGGGGATTGATAAGTTAAAATTTCATAAAATGGGAATCAAGCAAAAGTGTCCTTCTTGAGAAGCACTTTCCATAGTAATGATCTAGATGATTTATCTGATGATGAAAATGAAGATGAGATACTATCTCACTTATCGCGTGAAATTATTTTTAATCTTTGAATAAATTGATAAGTAAAACAAATTGTTATGTAAAATTTAAAGGATGTCTAGCAAATACAAGAAATTTAAAAGGGTTCATGATATTGAAACAAACTACCTCAACACGCTTGAAAAGGAATATGAAATTTTGAAAGTAGAAAATATTTTAAAAAAGAAAAGTGAAGTTTCTATATCTCCTAAATTGAGTGAGTATCTTTTATGTATAAAAATACTTTTAAAAAATTTAAGTAAATTAGTTTCAGGATCTATGAAGTTAGTAGAAATAACAAGAGAGATATTGGTTTTGAAGAAAACAAGGACTTGTTTCGAATGAGTTTTAGTTTTTAATTTTTAAAAATTATTTTTAAATCAATTTTAAAAGAAAAAAATAAAATAAAATATATTTGATAATTATATTTTTCAAATTCGTTAATATTACTAATGAAAAGTATAATATTTTTTGAGAATAAAGATATGATACAGTTTTATACTTTCATTCAATGAGAATTTATCGATCTATCATATCATATAATTAATTTAAAAATATTAGAATGATTTGTATCATC